TTACAAAATGATATTTAGATGTCAGAACACTCATTTTTGGTGTTTTGGGATTTTACGTTTTATTAGAACACATAACTTGATGCATGCGGACTAGTTCTATTGCAAAGAGGTAATTTGGGCTATTTGTACAACTAGAATAACACAATTTTCTATTGCAAAGTAGCCAAATTTTCAGTCAGCTCGATCCCGCATTCTAAAAGCCTTCTAAGGTATGCACTGATTCAACAGTGGAAGTGAAGTTAGCAGCTCCCGTAGTACTTGCGCATCATTTCGTTCGCGTAAATCAGTTAGATGAAAGGCGAAGGCTGGTGTTACCTACTACGGGTATTCGAATTTAGCTATGGAAGACCTTGGGATTACTCCAGACAAAATGTGCCAATGAGATAGGCTGACGAAAATATGTCCGGATGTGCCGATGTTTGTGATGCTTAAAAGAAAACGAAAGGTGGTACACAAACGTGCTAACCTGCTAAGCATATCGTGCTAATAGTATTATTCGGTTAATTTTGAGATAGGGCGGAATTTACGTTTGCAAGAGTTTTCGTGGGACCCGTTGGAGGAAAACTGACATAGCATTGACGCCTTACTGTTACGGAGTCCGGTAGGAAAACTGTATGCGAAAATGTGTGAGGACAAAAGTATTTAACGAGTCACTGAGATAAGGATAGTATAAAGCAGATGTACAGGCGTCTCATAAACTGTCTTCTAAGTGTGTTTCTAGGAAAATGCGTCAGTGTTTTATTCGAATCTAATAATAAGTGTCCCAACGCATAGGCTAGACGAGGCCTTTCTGCATAAAGAACTTTGCTTATGAACGATGTTTTCCTCTCAATAATTATAGCAATTACACTCCTTCCTATTGGAAGCCAACTATTAATATCATGTGTCCTAATTTTCACAAACACTGGAGTATTGAAGCTAGAATTTTATTAAATATGGGGTTTTCAAACAGAGCTGTCTGAAATAATACTATTAAAGAGATTTTCATAAGGTTATCGACAAAGAAAAGGAAGACTGGAATGGCCAGTTCTGGTTCGTTAGTCGTCGTCAGCCAGCCTAAGCAAACCCCATGTGTACAAGGCCGAGATTCGAACCCACGTTTTCGGTCACCAAGCACTAGCTAGTCAAGCATTCTAACCACTGAGACACGGACTCCTTGTCCTGTTGATTATGATCGAGAAAATTAACTAATTCGTCTGATTACGGAACGCGGTCGTTCGGTTATCTCATAGACCTTAAACTGGAATATATACGCAAAGATAGAAGTATCGGTCTCCGCAGTCTAATCGGTGGGCTCCCATTTACCAAAAGTCGGCCACTGAACACGATGAGCACCCTACACTGCGTTTCACAAGAGGTGTTCGGAAAGATTACAACTGACTTATTCGGATTCGGTGACCCTCAGTGTCAAAACAATGATTATAACTTTACCGACTATATTTTTTTCTACAAATTAGCAGGGTAGGCCACATGTTAAGACATGCCACCTCAGTTTATTTTGACACCACAGCAAACCAGTTTGCAAACGAACTGAACGAATTTGTCTTCTCGCAGACTCGACAAACTTAAATCTGTTTGGGACCGACCCAACTCTTCTCAAATAAAAATGGATTGTAGGTGGCTTCATTCGTGCTTTATGCTGTCTGCATGGCAGAAATTACCACGCAGCAACTGCCCTTGGCCTGTGCTGCTTATCTGTTTCTTGTAATTATTTAGTTTCGTATTATTTTTGAAAGCATAATTAGCTCATCGTTTCACCGACTGCTAACTGTGTCGCGTCAGGAGTCAGCAGTACCCATTTAAATATCAAGCAAACCACCACTTGGATTGTGCGGCATAGAGAAAAGGGTGCCGCTGCAGTGGATAAAGACCCTGTCAGTGTCGGAATTCGTGTGCTGAAAACAAAATTACTTCCTATGCTTTTTCAAATCTTTTTTGGAAAAAACGTTCAGCCACTTTTCTCCGGCGTTCCTAACAAGCATTTTACATACATGCAGCTTGGGAGGGGCTCGCGTAACTAAGCATCTGTCTAAGACGTCTGCAGTCCAATTCATGGAGAGCGGACCACGGGTGGGAAGAAAGGAGGAATTAAAGTACCACACTACTGCTGTGCGTCATTTAGAATGAGCCAAGAGTAGTAGGCGAGGACCTGCACCGGCCATTCGGACCATAAATAAACGTGAAGGGAGACGCGGGATAGGGAGTTACTAAAGAGTTTGTCATTGTTGGAAGAAACTACAAAGAATTAAAATGTCCAGAATATAATCTTAAGGAATATAATGAAAGGAAATTATCTTGAAAGGATGCCTACATACAGCCAGCTGTTTTTATCCAAACTGACGGTTTGACGGTGACAAGACTCCGTAGGGATTCCTGAAAAAAGCTCCTCGGGGAGGCTTTAGACCAGGCTATGTGCAAAAATACCTGTGACATGTTTACATTTTATTTTTTTGTGCCTCCTATGTCTGACATCTCTAAGACAGTAAGAAGAAGGACGATAGCTGCATAAAAACGGGAATGAAGGAATCCTCTCCGACTGCAGCGGTTTGAAGGTAACCAAAAGCACAATCATGCTGAGGGTTTTAATGGATAATCTATGTGTAGCTAAAATATAACGATAAAGGTGACTCCTGGTTGGGAATCCTACCAGTGTGGTGTCTGCTGCATCATCCAATGTGCTCCGCTTCGGCGCTAAGAAGAAAGTGGCCAGAGGAACTGACAACAACTTCAAATCCAAACAAAATTTAAAACCACACAAGCGCCCACTGCTGACTTACCAGATCCAGGAATTCGGGGATTTCTGACTGCGGAATATCCACCACAAAACGAAACTGTGACATTGTCGCACGGAAGTACTTAATGACGTATTTATGCGCCATATCATGGCTGTCCCATTTGCGCATAATGGCATCGCCTTTGAAGTGCGACAGCAAACTTTCAAATTTTTCAAGTCCTTAAGGAAAACGCAGTCATTCAGTTTATTTAAAACCCACTTTTTATTTAGGTACAGCAATAATTAACCAGCACATAAACTAAATGCATGCAAAGACAAACGAAAGTGCACACTGAAATATCAAATAGGGGTCAAGGAAAGCGACATTTTGTGACAAGCCAACTTTTCCTTCTTAGCACTATAAAGAGACACTCATACTTGTACTAGGAATCGTGTATTTACTCCCGTATGATGTGTCAAGATGTTTGCCTCTGATACTTAAGAAATAATTTCCTGTAAACTGAAAGTAACTTTTGTAGATTAGATCATTTTGTGACTATTATCTCAACATAATTGCCAATTCATCGATCAAACGTGGTGAAGGAATACATCGCGATTGAAAAGAATTTCATTATCCAAAAGACCAGAAAATGTTTGACATCGACGGAACCGTAGTCGAACATTGCAGCATCATGAAATCTGAACACTTTTGTCCTCCCTGTGGCCGCTAAGTCTGACGGGCTATTTCTGCGAGTAAGAGATTAAGAGTAAGAATTCTTAAGTCTACATAATAAGGGAATGTTAAATGCTATAACTGTTTCCTAAACAGCCCTTCTCAATAACACCAGAAAAGGGACGAAATGGAGAGCATCGCGTGAAAGGTCGGCTTTTTAAATCTTTTCAAAAACATACACTACTAACCAGTGGATGGTTGAGCCAAACTTTACACGACTTAAAGTTCAAGTATCTACCGTTTGCGCGGGAAGGGCCGTATGTAAGCTATTAAAGTTTTCTTCAGATGTCTGAGATCATTCAAGGGGAAATTTCAATAATTAAAATTTCTGTGTAGCCAGTCGCACTGATGGAACCAGCAGCTTTTTAATAAAGCCTGCCTTAATAAACATTTGCAAATAATTTTCCTTTTCATTCTCGGTTGTCTGCTACATTCTCCTGATAACTCGGCCGTCACATCTGGCCAGGGCTTAATAGCCCATTTTTTAAATAAAATAATCTAAAATAATGTAATCTATTCGTGTTTGGTTGCTTCTATTGTCATTTTATGTTTCCCCCAGGGTGTTTACTAGCTTTATCGATAATTCTTTCAGATGTGCCACTGTTAGTTATTGGTAGATATTTCCCTACCCACATCTGGGAACTGTTGATTTCTTGTCTATTCTATTGAATGTCAGTCGCAATTTGCGCACGCCTTAATGAACACCTTAGGCTATCGTTAGTCGTTCGGCATCACACTGAGCCTAATGTAATGTTTGTATTCAGCCGCTGATCTCGCCTTCTTTTCGACAAGCGAGCTCACAACACACTTTATTGCTGCATGAACAAGAAGATTAACGAAAACCTATGCAAGTTTGTGATACTGTTTTGATGTGTTCTGAGGACACACCAAATACGAACTAGACGGACAAGCTCTAAATACTCCCAAGCTAACTCGGAAGGATCCCATGTAAAGGGATTCTTTACAGACTACTCTTACTGATCATTTAGTACACATCCTAAGTTTGTATGACATGAAAATTCTTTACACGAAGCGGAATTTTGCAGTCCTCACCAGCAGAGAAAAACCGCAATTCTTCATGGCTGGTAATGAAAAGTCTGTCTAAATTAACCTAAAAACGATGTCAATTCTTTCAAGCGATTAATCTGCCTGTTTAGTTTTCTAAAAACGGTGTGCACATTAGGCTCTTTCGATTGAAATTTTCCAGGTAACTAACCGTGGCTGCTCTCCTTCTTCAGTCTCGCTCGCGAGCACATCGATGACATCTGACAAACGACCACCTTTGATTACTAAGCCTCAAAAAATTACAAGTTTCCGTTGGTCTACTTACGGTTACTCAAGACTGTCACATAGCCAAAAAAGGTTAAAATAGCATTTTACCCTTGACTAAACAATAAGTTGGTCCTTCGTTACCTTATACCTTGGCAAAGTTTTCATAACATACAACCAGGTGATACCACGTAGAAATTGCGAAAAGGAGAAAAACTAACACAGCTACCGGTGTAATTACTCCCTATCTCGTTGGTTGTTTGTCTTTTGTATGCAAAGAACTGATTATTTTAGGGTGACGACAGTCTTGCCTTCATCATCAGCGTAAATGATGCCGAGTTGCTTCCAGTCTTCAGCTTCCTCGATGAACCTTCGAAGAACGCGACCCACTTCATTGTATGAGGGATGCAGATTGATAGAGTAATTTTGGAGGGGCTCGTCATCACCCCACTGGACCACCACGTAGGGTATGCCGTACTTCTGAGCGACCCACAGCGCTTGTGTCGAGGCAGGGCTGCTATTGGGTCCAAAAACCGTGATCACTTGGTCCGCAAGCAGCTCACATGCTTTAAGGAGAGCACAGACTCAGTTAAAACCCTGTTCACCCTATTCTAGACAGTTTGGCTGACATTCAAACAGTACTTACATTAAACTAGAGCACGTTCTTCTAATGATAAGAACAAACTGTCACTGTGACACTAAAATACAGCAAACACCCTTTAGTAATTTCAATTAAAGGACAAAATTAACACACATTTCATTACAAGCGGATGTGAAAAACCTTAAAATGTACCGGCAAACTATAGTCGGGAAACCAGAGAGGTTGCTTACAAAGAGGAAACTGTAGTTAAATGACGGGGTCCAAACGGACGCACCTACATTCTGCTTCTCATCCCTTGGCTGTCTTTGGTCGACCGCTTTGCCCTTAAATGAGGCTGTGTAAGTCTAAATGAAATTTTAAACAAGCGCTGGGATATATTTTGGAATCACTTTGAGAGCGAGCGAAGGGTCGGGCACAGGTAAAAATTACGTACTGTTCTGACTATCAAGTTCTCTTCGTAGACCTATCATTAGGGGGAAATATAAAACGACAGAAAAACCCATGATTCATGGAATTCGATTAGTTTGTTCTTCACCGGTCTCTAAAGATGACTTCAGAACAAAAAGCCAGCACACTGTTAATACATGTCGCCCAACAGTATCAATATCTACTCCAGTAGACAACCAAGTGTTCTAGACCTGTAGTTCCTTTTTTAGTGGCACACAAGTCACAAATCTATCATCACACGAAATCTACACAAGTAATCGGAGTGGGCTTTTGCCAGCCGTAATATTTTTTTGAGACAGCCAAATCTACTTGCATTGGAACACACTGAGCGGCGATCGCTTGCAAGTAACATACTTTTTGTCAGTTGAAGTGCTTAAACTGCACATTCTCTGATTTTAGACAATCCGGGAATTACGAGAACGTTTAATATAAACAGAAGATAATGAGGGTGCCCTTACCAACTTACGATCCACTCCTGAATCTAAATGAAGTTTCACTTTATTAAGGGAATAAAACTCCCCCCCTTTTAATTCAACGGTTTTGGGTATAAAGGGATGTTATTTGGGTTACAGGATATCATAATAATTCGTTCGAAAGCCGGCATCATGACGTAGCTAAAATATCGTGGGATTTTGCTGCAGGACAATTAATATTACAATCCTACTTAAGTAATCCTTTTAAGTCGAAAACGTATTTCACAATTTCGGTCAACATTTCATGAAGTGACTTATCTATTGCACTAGCTATAATTTCGGTTAGCACCTATAAACCTTAGTTTAAATTGATTTAGTCCAAAGTAGCGGTTAATTTTTGAAAAAGTTAAAAAGCAACAGGAATGTTTTTGTTCGAAGTTTTCTGCTGATTTTTCAGTTGACTTCCGGAGTACTTCCTCCTAACTGGTCAGAGTTAAAGGCATGACAAAAATCAACTCCCTGGGTAGAAAACGAACAAACCTGCTTTTGTGGCAGCAAAAGCGTTTCGAGCACTGATGCGTTTTATCAGAGGAACCAGTGTGATCTGATGTGACTGTCCGCTCAGTAGTTCAGTGAGTTTCCTATTAGCTGCTGTTATCGCCTTTTGAATGACTGTGGTTTGTCCTTCGTACTGCCCTTCAATGATGAATCCTGACAGTGGAAAATAGAAGATAAATGTTTAATGACTGGCACCCTTCCGTGGTCATTTTGCAAACTATGCATCTTACTGGCAGTCCTTGGAGAGCATACCGAAGCACACCTATCTGCAGATGTTTCTGCTACTGCTTCATGAAATTTGGACGAAACATTTGCTATTTAAAAGCATCAACTTACAAGATGTTGATTCTCGCAGAGGCATGGTATGATAGCTTATTTTAATGGGCAGCGGTTTATTTTACAGAGGAACAATAAGGAATTATTTAAAAAAGACATTCCGTTAGCCGAACAATATATCCACATTTTCAGTATTTAACATCATTTTTGCCGCAAAATTAGTGGATTTAAAAATTTGAGGCAACTGTAATTTTACAGTCCTCTCTATCAGACACCAAGTTTGCAGAAAAGCGTAGTCATATTTTCAACTGAAACCTTCAGATATACACCTCAGAACATTCCTAAGGGGAAATAGCTAAGCAAATTAATCCACATATCTGCATGGACTCAAAAAGCCCGTGGTTCACTGTCGCTAACATTTAAACGGAAAACGAAGATTAGGATTGGAAAAGCCGTTGAAACTCGCGAAACATGATAGAAAACTGGCGGAAAATAGAGATGTTGTATATCGCCGATCCGCGTATTCTCCTCGAGCATAATGTATTGTTTAGAAAAGATGTAACAGAAGCCATTTTGTATCTTTTAATCCAATGACGGTTTATTTCCCGGCGGAAAGGGCCCCAGGTTGATATTCATTTGGCTGCATAGTTCAATAAACTGGGCGTGACAGAGAGATGCTACACGATATAATTAGTTGCATTACTACGATATATGGTTTGTCTATGATTTCAAGCATAACTAAGGAAAGTACGGTGGTACTGCATGACCAGCGCCCAAAGAGGCGCCCAGCATCTAATGCGTGTCTCCCATGGGCGGCTGTTTTAACCCACACTCGAGATACTTGCCAAGAGGCTAAATAAATTTAGTTCACATAGGGAAAAATTTTGTCATGAAGATTTCAATCTTCTTATAAATTTTTCTGGTGTTTGAAAGAAGCCTAACAGATGTTTTGCCGGTTCTCAGGCAAACTTCTTACAACAGTCTGAGATTTGAATCGGCCACTTCCTCTAAAATCCACCCAATTTTTATTACATTTCTTGCCAAGACAGTATAAGGCATTTGTCTGTGGGATTCCCCAGCGTACTGAGAGAAAGAATCTCTGATTGAATGACCGCCTGCTGAAAGACTTACCAACGTTGAGTTCTTGGGTATCGCAAATAGCGCGACCAGAGAGCAACAGAACGAAAGTAAGTAACCACAGTTCTTGCATTGTCGAATTTGCACTTTTTCGCTGAAAGGTACAATCAGTGAAACTGCTTAACAAAAACTGCTGTATATAAGAGTTATGAAATGGGGATTAGAGCCCAGAGCATTTTTACAGATGTGATTTGCTAGTTCATGGGCTCTTACAAGTTGCATTCCGCAAAAACTAAGATATAAGACTGTCTAAGCGACAATTTTATTAACAAACTGTTAAATAATAGGGTTGGGCGTTTTAAATCAAAACATCTTTCTATTTCATATAGGTTGGTAAGGCAGAGAACTCTCTGAATGGTGAAGTTCAAATTTTCCGTCAGGCCTTCATTTTTTCCTATTGTTTATGACACGACTAGACCCTATTTTTAATATAGATAGCGGGAGCCGACTATAGACGAGGGGACTCTTAGGTCATGGAAAAGATTACTGTTTCTGATCATTATCCATGACATAAAAAGTCTTTTATTTGCTCGAAAAAATTCATTTCCAAGAGGGCACTTGCTGGGTATACATCCAAAGAGTATATTTATACACCAGTTCTTAACGCTTAGGAAAGTTGATACTCTGATTGTCTTATATCCAGACCCTGTCTAATTTAAAAAAACGTTTAACTGGCTAAACTATTATAGTACGTTTGGAGTGAACGTCAGTTAATGAAGTATGACGAAGTTTCCATATTAGAGATATTTCGCCAATAGAAACGAAGAGACGAATCATAGGAAGCAGTCGTGAAGAAGAAGACACGATCGCTGGGACAAGAGCTTTATTCGTCTGAGGTTTCAGATTCCTGCTCAAATCCATCATCAGACCCGTATCGGATCTTGTCTTTGATGATGAGTTCGAGCAGGAATCCGAAACATCAGGCGAATACAGCCCTTATCCCAGCGATTGTGTCTCCTTCTTCACAAAAGATACTTATATTTTCGGATAACAAAGTCGACAGCTAATAGATCGTACCCTTCCTCTGCGACGTTTGTTTTTTAAGCAGCCTCGTTAAGGTCGTAAAGTCTTAAAAGGTGATTTGCTGACATATTATGACTGCCTTAACATAACCTTTTCCAACTGTTTTTTATTAGGAGCACGAGTTTCTAAACAAACCCAGTATTTAAATCCCAAGTCCACGTTCTCAAAAGATAATGTACGTTTGTGTTGTACTGTTCGCAAATCAATTTTTAATGTTCTATCCTCGCAGGCAGTCCACGAAATTAAATAATTCTCTGACGAACAAACATTGAGTAGTGAAAGCGTTTTCTTATTTTGACATACCATCTAGGAATCGCACTTTTACTATAATGAAGTAACATTCATTTAAACAAAAGTACTCGAAGATGTCATAAGCGGCAGGAAAGAGTTCATACTAAATAAGTATATCTCGGCTTATGTTTATGCTGTGGGTTTTACTAACTCTGCATTTAGAAGAAAGTAGGAGTATTGCTTAACAAAACTCTTAGATCAGGTGGGCAATTAGCCCATGTTTGTGTATAGTTTGTCAGATAAACCGTAGCCAGTGGGCTTTCTAAAAACACGTTTATTTTCTCCGAAGTAGTATTATTAAATACTTTACATGGGTTTCCTAAAATTTGCTGATTTAAACACATATAAATCAATCTGTTGATCAGAGTGCCCGTTAGTGCGGAGAAATTCTAGTACCAAGTGTGAAATGATTTTAGAACTAGCAAGAAGTCATTGCGCGCTATCCATAGATATTCTCTGCCGCCAAGTCGGTCTGCGATCCACCAAATCATTCAGCTACGGCAGATGTGTTGTGTTTATTAGAATTCAAAAATGTTTGCTTAATTAAAAATTTGCATAGGTAGAGTTATAATATTAATTACTTTGCAATATAATCCCCAGATATTACTGTCACTTCAGGGTGCTAGATTTTGCATAAGGTCATTTCCGGCCACCGGAAAAATCTATACTCTGCATAAAAGATAATTCCTCAGGTAGTTGAAATTTTTCCTAATGATTTTCACCGTCCTTGACTATTAAAACGTATTTTACGGAAGAATGCACAAAAATACTCCCTGGATTTTTTGGAGGCGAAATACAATTTTAAAGTTTCCAGTTGAAGAGGCGACGTTTTCCGGTTTTATATCAATGAATAATTATGGGATTTTTGTGAACATGAAGCATCCTTTCGTAAAAAATCGTATTCATCCATTTATAAATGCTGCTTACAAAGTGTACAAATGGCCAATATCCACTGTAAAATTTTGTAAACCCTATATAACACCTTAATCGTGCATGGAAATGCATAATTCTTTTACACGGAAAGCATATACAGCTTGTAGTTTGGAATGCACGTACAAGTGGATTCAAAATTATTCAGAAATTGAGAAAGCTTTTTAAACCTTGTGGTACTTTCTTTCAAGCAAGAAGTATAAAGGGCATGTAAATAGCTACCAGATGAGTTCTAGAAAGGATAAGTTGTGCATCCTTTTTGTAAAATTCATATGAATTTTTGAGAGCATTCAAAACAAATAAGGAACTTCCGAGCTACTAGAATGGTCACTTCTACCGTGTTCTGTTTCTGCGGTTTGCCGATAAAAAGCTCGCGCAGAAGGCGGCATCCTAATGTGACTTAAATGCTGGCGGTCTTGCTGCAAGCTAATCAATATCATAACCCCAATTAAGCAGTCTTTTCTGATCGGAAGCTCATTCTAGAATTCTGGTCAAAATTTTATGAACTGGCACATCTGCTGTACCTGGTAAATCAAGAGGCTTAAATGTGCGGATATGAGACTGCACGATTTCATATAAGTGCAAACAGCCTATAGCGACCATTGAATTACGAAGAGCATCCAGCGATGATTGTTAAAAGCACATGGCCTTCAAAATCTTCGGCCATGTTAATAAACGTAATGAAGTCTCGTTCAATGAATTTCTTACGAGCAGACTGTCTTAAGAAATTCATGCTGGTGTCTAGGCTTATGAATTAGACTATTTTTGTAACAAGCAAGATGATGTCACTGTATATATGGAAAATTCCATATATTCTTTTGCATAGATAGCGGAGGCCACAAAACATACCTGGTCTTGCAGAAATAAAAACTGGCGACGTTTTGCCGAATATATAAGCAAACAGAAAATGGCTCCTTGTGCTGAAGCTTGGTCGCAATCACTAACATACGCGCCAGAATAGATGTGTAACTAAGGGTTGTTCAATTTCAATGGAATAAGTCACTATTAAGAGTAAGAAATCTTTTTGAATACGAAAACTATTAATATATCGTATTTTCTACTTTGTTTATAGAAATTTAGAACAAGCAAAATAACTTTAAAAAGATGTGATATGTTCGACATTTACCGTTAAATACCGCCAAATTAAGGAAAACATATTACAAACCCGATACACACTTACCGAAAATGCTTTGTCAGCGTTTCTACTTTCACACTTAAGTAGGTAACCAACGAAGTCAGTGAGGTTTGTCAATTATTGACGTTTTCAAAACTCCATATAAGTAGTTAGATTTACCTCCGGAAAACTCCATGTTTATTCAGACAATCAAAACCCTATGGAAACCGTTATACACTAACCAAAAATTAGGGCGATTTCAGCATCTGTCCTCGGGCTAACAATATATTCTCTGTCTGAATGTCGATGCAGCAAGGATATTGTACATGCTGCCAATAGAACGAAAATTTGTCCAGAAATCTGGCTAGTATTTACCTTACTCAAGACGAATTTGGGGAATCTTATACCACAAAATTTCACTCGCACTGTCTATATTGAGGACCGTCATTCTCCAGGGTTCCGTTTGGCGACCACGAAGTCTAACTTATTCCTGCTCTGCGCCTGCCGACAAGGGAAACGATCAACAAATTAAAAATTTCGCTTCATTTGTTGCAACTGGTAGGTAGTCTCATATGTACATCACTTATGTGGTAGGATTAATAATTGTTAATGAAAAAATCAAAAATGAAAAAGGCTTGAAACTAAGTCTGCAGATTTGGTTCTATGTAAGCCAGCCCAAGTAACAGCTCGAACTGAATTAAAAAAGCCGAATTTTTTTAAAGACATACTCACTTCTGTTTTTCAAGCACGAACCTAACATGGGTATAATCATCAGAACGTCTTAGAACCAGTCGACGGCTTATCGACTGTTATTAATCTTGCATAGCATGGATAACGAGTAAGAACTGCACAAAAAATCCAAAATTGTTTAAGTATAATATTAAAGCAGCAAGGCCATAGTTGCGAACACAGTTAAGTCGATGGAAGGTCACTTAAAACATGACAAAAGTAGAACATGGTCACGCTACTTACAGCAGTAGACAAGCGACTACAACGACGTGTTCATGTTTATTACATTATCCAATCGCTCAGGTCTTCCGTTCATATATAGCAGCTTTCAAGTATCGCTCAGTCCGAGTTTTTCGGTCAAAAAGAAGGTTCTTTATGATGATGACTATCAGAAGCATAAAAGTCCTGTTGCCAAAATTTGTGTGCCAGTCGCCTCCATAAAAGCCTCTTATAATAAGCTTTTACATCAGGGAGATAGTATTACAAACATAAACGAACGACGGTTGTGAATCACCACTGAAAAGAATTTCACTTAGCCTAGAACGTATTTAGCAGTTTTTAGAGGACTACTGCAATCGGAAAGGCGAAGGGTTTCCTGCCAGTGACCGCCAATTCAAATTGTTTTTATTAATTCACATGTCTTTGTGTATGCAGATACATTTGGCAAGTGTAAGGGTGGCTTGCAGATCGACCATTTTTGCACTTGCCTGAGTGGTTTTGAAAGTTAGCAATATCCCGCTCACCACTGCTACTGAATATATCCAAGCTACCGGCTACTCAGCAGATCACAAGATGCTTCTGAGCTCTTTCTCGCGCATGAACAGTTCCTAATCTGCATTACTTCCGGGGCAGCCTACATAGGGAACGAAAAATGTAACCTGTGCAAACAAATAAACCACAATATAAACCCACAAATGCTCAAACAATCCCTATTTCTTTGATTATCAAACTCCATTAGGATCAGCGGCCACTTTTGAGTGGTTATT